TTAGAGTTACGTCGTTGATTCAGATGGTTAGGTTAATAGCTTGTTTAGAGAACCTTTTCATGATATGCTAATTTTTTGGGACAGGCATTTTGGGTTTTCATGAGCTGTATGCCATAATCATCAGTATTAAAACAATTAAAGACCTGAAATATTTCAGTTGGTGTGCAATGAATCTGAAATATATGAAAGTTTCATTTTTATCATTACATTATGGAAAATAATGACCTTTATCACAATACGCTAATTTTTTTAGAAGGACCTGTACAAACTTAAGTTCATGGAATCAATTAGTATTTTTGTGTTTTTGTAACTTTTATGGAGCTTTTATATCTGTACTTTTACTTTTGAGTTTTGTTTGTGATTTGCACAAACTGTTCATACACAGAGTTTCAGTTGTGATTCTCCTTAAATATCTCACAAAATTCAGGCTCAGTATTTATAAAATGGGCTGAGTTGGAGCCAATATCTTGTTTCCCAAGATTAGTTGACTGCAGTGACCATCTTGAAAGAAGTTGACTCTAAAAGTTAATCATAAATTAGCAAAAACATCACCCTTAAATCTTTAGCTGCAGCAATATTTAAAATAGTTAAGATAACATTAATAAAAGTTAAATTCAATTCATCCTGATGCATGCTCAATAATCCAGGTAGAAAAATCAAAAAAAGTTCAATCTGGTCCTCTGGACATTCAAAAAAACAAAAAACAAAACAAAGCAAAAAAATATAGAAACGTTTCGTCTCTCATCCAAGAGACTTCCTCAGTCTGAGGTGCTGTATTCAGCTCAGTCTCTTAAATAGCACCTTCTCAGAGTGGATCAACCAGTTTGCTGCTGACAACCAAAACCAGCTGATCACATGCTCAAGAAGGACCATCAGCCTAACAATGGATCATTAGCACCTGATGGCTGTTTACTACTCACAGAGGGCTGAGTGATACTAGCAATCACAGCATTGTAAGAGGGGGACAGTTGAACCTGGAGGCCTCCACCCCTGTTTAATGATGGACGATTTCTTTTCACAAAGATGGCCTCCTTTACTCCTCTCTCAAACCATCGTTCCTCTCTGTCCAGGATGTGAACATCTTCATTCCTGAAAGAGTGACCGCTGGCCTGGAGATGAGTGTAGACCGCAGAGTCCTGGCCTGATGATGTTGATCTTCTGTGCTGGGCCATCCTTTTGGCCAGTGGCTGTTTAGTTTCCCCGATGTAAGACTGATTACCCTCCTGACACTGAACAGCATACACAACATTACTCTGTTTGTGCCGGGGGACTGGATCTTTGGGATGAACCAGTCTTTGCCGTAATGTATTTTGGGGTTTAAAAGCCACTGGGACATTATGTTTAGAAAATAAACGTCTCAGTTTCTCTGATACTCCAACATACGGAATGACCACTGGTCTGGGTCTGGGTTCCTCCTTTTCACCTGATGGCTGACTGGAGTCTTGTTTGGGTTTCTTCTCTGCTTTCAGGAAGGCCCAGTTAGGATATCCACATTGCTCTAGAGCCTGTCTTGTGTGGGATTTCTCCTTCTGCCTGGCTCCTGAGCTAGTGGGGACGCTGTCTGCTCTGTGGTACAGAGTCCTGATGACTCCTAACTTGTGCTCCAAAGGGTGATGGGAGTCAAACTGCAAATACTGGTCTGTGTGGGTGCGTTTCAAGTTCAAGAATGAACAGACTGACAGAGACACAATGTATTGGTCATTTGAAGTTATTGCTGGGTTTCTGTTTTAATAATATGCCCAGTGTATAAACACACTGATACATTTTAGATATAGATACTATATATATATATATATTATTTGTACACAAACTTTGCCATTATATTTTCCAGCCTGCTGTGCCATCTGTAATTATTATTTTTTGTCATTAAAGTTGTTTTAGGGTGGCAGGAATAAACTTTGGTCTTGGTCCTACTAGGGCTAGTAGCCATTACCTCATTATTCATATCAGAATTAAATATTTTTCCAAACCGAGATGTCTCAAAAAGCTATCTATCACAGGTAAGACATTTATTAAATTTACAAACAAATCCAGTTCAAGTCAACATTATAACTTTCAGGTAAAAAAAACATGCTCTTTGAACTCTTTTTTTCGGTTCTGTTATACATATTTATGTGTATGTATGTGTACTTACATATATGTATGTATGCATATACACATTAGTCTTTGTTTTTGTTAGAGCTGTGTGTACATACATGCTCAGAGTTTGGTATCTTGACAAAACTACAATTTTTATTTTTAAGACTGTTTTTAAAATTACTCTGTTGTTAGTTTTTAAAGAAAAGGTATTTGAGTAATTCTCAAAACAGTGTTCTTGTAGTTACTTCTGTTGTACAAATACCAGTTTATACCTTTTACAAATAAAAGTTCGTAACTATTTACTTTTTCTTTTATTGACTTTATTCTATTTACTTTATTCTTTTATCACTTTGATAAAGAGATTAATCTTAATGAATCTTTTAGGCGAGGGGAGTAGCGAAGGATTGAGGGGTCTCAAAGATTGGCTAGGAAGTAAGGGAGGTCTTTGAGGAAAATAGGTTGGGAACCACTGATATATACCACCCTCCTTTGACCCAAGGCTGTCCTGTCACACCTCAAATATTTTATCTACCATCTCAGTCATGGACCCTTCTTCTTCTACAGTTAGGTCTAAACAAAGGAACACGGACTCAAAGAGTGAGATCTTTCTTTGCAAAGAGGAAGAGCAGCTCAAGAGACAATCTCTCTCCAACTCTCTTCAGCTTGCTGCTCCCCTCATCACTTTTTTATTCACTTCAAACAATGATGGGTGTGATCGTATAGCATGACTAAAACATGACTGGTTACTCAATATGTTTTTGCAAGCTTGATTGTGAGGTTGCGAAACATCAATACTTCCTCCATGGAACTTTCCACTGAAGAGGGCAAGAACATGAAATAAAATGATCATAAGAGAAAGCCATAAAAAATAAACTTAAAAGTAGAACATAAAAAGAATATAGAGAATATTCAGTAAATTGATTATTCCATCATTGGTCTTCAACCAAATCAGAAGATGCTGATACCTCCTTTGCCTCCCCCCTCTGCATCTCCAGAAGTCAGGTGAGGAAGCAGCTGGAGAGACTGAACCGGAATAAGGCTGCAGGTCCAGATGGTGTCAGTCCCAGAGTCCTGAAGGTCTGTGCAGAGCAGCTCTGTGGGGTTCTGCAGCACCTCTTCAACCTTAGCCTGACCCAGGAGAAGGTTCCAGTGTTGTGGAAAACATCCTGTCTTGTTCCAGTGCCAAAGAAAACGCACCCATCAGTCCTCAATGACTATAGACCTGTTGCCCTGACATCCCACATCATGAAGGTCCTAGAGAGACTTCTGCTGACCCACCTGACTACACAAACAAGCACATATCAGGACCCACTGCAGTTTGCTAATCAGCGTGGACTTGGAGTTGAAGATGCCATCATACACCTGATACAGCAAACTCACTGTCATGTAGAAAAGGCAGACAGCACTGTGAGAGTCATGTTCTTTGAACTTGACTCTCATGTGCATTTAACGGGGGTTAAATGTGTTAAATGCAGTGTTACATGCACTGTTCTCCAGTGCATTTAACACAATCCAGCCTGATTTGCTTTGTCAGAAACTCCAGAAGACTCAGGTGGAGGCCTCAACAATCACCTGGATCAAAGACTATCTGACAAACAGACCACAGATTGTGAGACTGAAGGGTTGTGTGTCTAACCAGGTGGTCAGTAGCACCCCAGGGGACTGTACTCTCACCATTCCTGCTAGAAGTCAGGAACACTGCCTTTAGGTCTGGCAACTCACAGGAGCTGGGAAGGACAAGGAAAGAACTGGCTGCTGGTATTAAGAGGGCCAAGGCCACATATGCATGGAGGATCCAGGGTCAATTCACCTCACAAGACCCACAGAGCATGTGAAGTAGGGCTGGGCCATATCATATCGTTCATGATAATACCGGTAAAAAAAAGCTTGCCCAGAAAAATAAATGATATCATGATATGCTAATTTCATGACGTAATACGCCAGGGCGCTCCGCCCCATTAACAGGACCGAGCACGCCGAACAACCAAACCGAACTGTGCACCCCCTCTCCACCTGTAGGTACTGGTGTAACG